CATCCCAATTTCTTCCTGCCTATCGTCCGCCATGTTTATTCTCAAGCCTCGAGAGAATTCCCGTGTTCACAGTAGGGACTCTGGTTGAAAATCTGTTGGTGTGTGGTGTGCTGTCTTTGTCACATCGCGGCACACCACAAACTATAGGAGCAAAATGGTTAAATCTAGGATTTTTTGTCCTCATGTTCGTGGTCTCTCACTTTTTGAAAATCATATAAGATTTTAAAAATCTTTTAGTGTGTACCCAGCATTAGACAAAACCCAGTGTCAGAGCCCTTAGATTGAAGGATGTTAAAAAGCACATACAGCGAATAAATATAAGGCGCTAATCTGATTAATCAAAAGACAGAATAGATTTTATAACAAACATTTAGGACTACCCTGCTGAAAAAAAACAGCTAAAACCAGCCTAAACTGGTCAGGCTGGTTTTAGCTGGTCTCCCAGCCTGGTCATATCTGGTTTATCAGGCTGGTTTTAGAGGGGTTTTGACCACATTTTTAGCTGGTCAGGCTGGTTTTAGCTGGTCTTAGCTGGTTTTAGCTGGTCAGACTGGTCTTGGCTGGTTTTAGCTGGTCAGGCTGGCTGGTCTTAGCTGGTTTTGGCTGGTCTTAGCTGGTCAGGCTGATCTTAGCTGATTTAAGCTGGCCAGGATGGGAGACCAGCTAAAACCAGCTATTTCCAGCTTAAACCAGCTAAAACCAGCCAACCAGCTTAGGCTGGTTTAAGCTGTTTTTTTCAGAAGGGTACTCACCGAACGTGTGGCCCACGTAAACTGATGGCAAATATCACGATGTGTGCTGAATGAGACTTCTTGAACATGATTTCATAGCGATAAAAATCTCATGCCCTTCGCGTCTGTGGATTGACGCTAAAAGTTTCCAATTGAAAGCAATGTAGGTCCTAGCTCGTCGATATAGCGACACCGACGGGCACCTTTAGGCGCTTGACCATGCTTCGGTTTTTGACACCTTGGGAGTGAGAATGGATTGCGTACTGGCAAACCGGAAGCGTTAGCATTAGCCGTTACGCTTTTTTGGCTAAAGGTTGCAGGCCTGCCTTCTAGTGGCCTTCACGCTTGGGGAGTAGGGAGCAGTGAACACTGCATAGGGACCCTGTCAATTGGAACGCATCTAGTTGAAAGATGGTGCCTGAAAGTTGCATTTGGTGGTCTGTGTGTAAATGTATGTTACTAACATTTTCCACTTTGATGTTACTTCTAGAGAGAAATCAGTATTATAGTAATTAAATATTCTCTTCTGTTATCACCAAAGCTCGCTCTATATTTTTGCAGATCATTAAACCATTACGCTGCCTCAGAAACCTGTCTGAAATAAGTTTTGTGAGGTGCCTTCGTGTGCAAACGCTGCCTGTAACGTCATTAGGCAGCAAGGCAACAAGTCAGCAGCCTAAAGCTTTTGGACGTGCCCTCAATCACAAGCACACAATCATGGCTTGTCCAATTAAAAAATAAATAAAAATAAAATAAATAAGTAGATAGACAGATAAATATATAGATACATTTACATTTATTCATTTAGCAGACGCTTTTATCCAAAGTGAATTACAGGAATACAATAAGCGATTAATCACAGGGAGTGCTCTTAATACAAAGTTTCAGACATTGTTCAGATTAGTACAAGTACAACACAGGGGGGATTAAGGAAAGAGAAAGTAAAGTTTTAGTTTTTTTTAGGATGCAGTCAAATGTTGACAAAAGATATGAGTTTTCAGCTGTCGCTTGATTCAGCATTACGGATGTGGGTGGGAAGATCATTCCATCAGCCAGGAAAGGTGAATGAAAATGTTCTGGAAAGTGATTTTGTGCCTCTCTGTGATGGTACCACGAGGCGTCGCTCACTTGTAGATCTCAGGCTTCAGAAAGGGATGTAGATTCGTAAGAGTGAGTGGAAGTAGGAGGGTGCTGAGCCCGTGGCTGTTCTATATGCAAGCATCAATGTCTTGAACTTGATGCGGGCCGCAACGGGTAGCCAGTGCAGGGAGATAAAGAGAAGAGTGATGTGGGCTCTTTTGGGCTAGTTGAAGATCAGCCATGCTGCTGCATTCTGAATCATTTGAAGAGGTTTGATTGTGCATGATGGAAGTCCAGCCAGAAGAGCATTGCAGTAAGTCCAGCCTAGAAATTACAAGGGCCTAGACAAGAATTTGTGCAGCATGCTCCGTTAAGAAGGGCCCATCTTTCTGATGTTGTGCAATGCAAACCTGCAAGATCGAGCGGTTTTTGCAATGTGGATAGATAGTTAGATAGATAGATAGATAGATAGGAAATGAAGGCATATTTTATTTTGTTATATATTGATCACAACTGTCCTTGATGTAAAGGCACTGGGAGGCCATAGATGATTGTCCTTCCATGTATTGTACAACAGAAAGTGAGACAACATAAAGATTTTAAATATATAGTATTTTTTCTAAAATTAATTTTTAAATATTATTTTCATGTCGTCACCGTGGAGAAGAAAAACCTTTATAACACTGCCATGTAGACAGACTGCCTCATTCTATCGTTCAATGCTGAAGAGAGCTCTAACCTAGAAGCCTTAAAAGTACTGGTCTAGCGGTCTAGCAAGGAAGCAGCCTATGATGCAGCCCTCATTTTTCAGCGTTCGGACGCAATTAAATTTACATTACATTTACATTTACATTTAGTTAATTAATTAATTAATTTATTTTATTAAATCACGTCCGTATGTTCGCCCAATGAACTGTAAGTTATTACTATTCATAAGCACAGCCTGCACCTTAATAACACTGGGCGAACGTCACCTTATGTGATTAATATTTATGATCCTGCCTTCACCATAGTAGGCTTGATACATTCGTGGGCGGGCTATACTAGAATAGTCTGCAGAACAGTATCTTAGGTGATTTCTAAACGAAATCAACACAGACCCACTATATTAGAAGAAATGGAGGACACAAAGCCTGAGGAGACGAATGTGGAGGAGCAGAAAGTGAGTATATTTGAAGATTTTGAAATCAAACCGCTACAGTCAGTCAGATTTGAGCTTTTCCGCTATATAACAGTAACGTTATATACAGACTCGGGTAAGTCAGATCGAATCGAAGACACATCGAATAAAAAGCGATTTTCGCATAAAACCTGCTGTAATATCCCTAATAGATGTGACTATTGCTTTATGCTCTGTCTGTTTAGTGTATTTGTATATTGTTCAAAGCTCTGCTGCTCACCACAAATGTATAAAGGCCTTCAACCATCAAATAACGTACCAATATTTTAATTGAATCTTAGAAACGACCAGCTTATTAAATCACCTGATAGATAAATAGACATATATATGTTGAGATGTGATTAATAATTATGCTACAGTTGGTTTGTTTTGTTTTGTATTGGGTTGTGATGGTGTCAGTTAGCAGTTAGCATGTGAAGCTAAGTTTACTGTTGAACAGCATTCAATATATTGACCTTAAATGTGTTTTATAACCTAACTTACTTCTCGTCACAGTGTGTGTACATCAACTGAGGGAGATCCGTATGGATTTACATAAAGAGCTTAGAATGACACAGTTCTGAAGCACCATACAACAAACAAAACTGCACCATGATTCCATTGAAAATAATGAATACATTCCTAAGCTCCTAACAAAATTCCAGTTAATGCTGCCCTAAAATTGAAATGAAGTGAAATTGAAAAATGTTTTAGCACTAATGATTTTTCCTTGTAGACATTGATTTATTTAAAAAATAAGAAAACAATAATAATAATAATAATAATATTTAAATGAAATCTATCATTTGACAACTAAGCATTTTCACACAAGCTGTTGTTATCAACATGGCTCTAATTTGTCTTTTTTTTTCTTGAAAATTAATATGTATGTACTCCACTTTTAACTCAATACTGCAACTGCACACATAGTCTCGAACTGCATGAGTACAATCAATCTGATTTATATATACAGTGAAAAGTATCAAAGTATCAATGAGCCTTGTTTAAGTGTCAGCACTTGCTGAATGCTGCTGACCAATCAAATTTGTGGACCAGTGTAATGTGAGATCCTAGAACCCCCCGTCAGAATCATATTCCTCTATGCCTTTTTAAAAACATGCCACATTATAGGGATTCTAGTTAATCAAAATAGCTTTTTTAACCATGTAGCACTATGCCAAGCTAGTAGGTTAAGTGGTTAGCTCTTTAATCAAAGGCTAACTGAAAACTGAAAAATATTTTAATAACACCTCAGTACATGGAAGGAGAAAAGAAGCCACTTTTTAAATAGATAATAATGGAGGAGAGGTTTCATTAAGTTTTAAAATAAAATGTTTATTTGACATGTTTGAAATGTTTAAGACAGCGTCTTTAGGACATGGCAGCGGAAACAACAAAACTACAGCGAGAATAAAAGTTACGCCTTCTTTCTTTGCGTGAACATTTGGGCGGCGTTAATGCAAATCTTCCCACAGAGCGACGTAGGTATGTGGGAGCGTGTTAGAACGAGCCGTTTTAGGTAGGTGTGGCTGACTCTTAACTTTTATAAAGAATATCTCTTTGGATTTGAGACTTTAGAAAAATTGAAATCGCATCATATGACCCCTTTAAGCTGTTAGCGCTATGCTAACCTTGTGTGCAAAGTTGTTAGCATGCTGAAAACACAAAGAAAGGGAAATGTTTAATTTGACCAATCTATTACAAATTCTATTACAAAAGATTTTTGTTTTTGATCTCATTTGACAAAACTTTTCATTCATCAAAGAATCATAAAAAAATATAGCATGGTTTCCACAAAATATTAAGCAGCACAACTGTTTCATAATTGATAGGAAATGTTTCTTGAGTGCCAAATCAGCATATCTGAATGATTTCTGAAGGATCATGTGACACTGAAGACTGGAGTAATGATGCTGAAAATACAGCTTT